GCATTTTGTTCTCAAACAAATCCTTCGTTCAATGTGTTTATATTTTCGCGCTCTGCAGATTTGTTTGCCTCGCGCTCAGCTTTGTTTCCTTTTCTTTGTCAACTGCATTATTACTAGTATGACGTATGACTTGTGTAGGCACTTATCACGTGACCGTTTGACTGCATGCGCTATGCACGCTCTAGGCTAGTGCATTTGAGCGATCGTAGCGATCCGCTTTCCTTGCCGTTTCGTCTTCTCCGCTTCTTTACTCATTCGAGTCAGTGTCGCTGCACTAGTTTGTTTTGCAGTTTATCCACGTCGCAGTCGTTCATGGTCGCCATCTTTACATTTGATTTTGATGCGCAGCTGCATGCTGATGCAGCTGCCTTTTTCATTCTTTCGATGATCTTCTTTCCAATGTTTATACTGAATCTACTGTATGTATTCTCTCACCCAAGTTTGCAACGGTTGTCGGTTGTAGCATGCCAAGGGTTGGATGCAGGGGTGGTTAATTAAGCTAGTAGTAGTAGAAACAATTCAGTAACAACACCTTACAAAATTACAACAAAATCACATGCAAGAAGTCCTTTCACTTTGACTACTGCTCGTTGCGTGACATCACTCCTCACGAAAGGACTTCCTGGGGATCACAATCCTAAACAGACAAATGTACGAATACCGCAACTGACTCTGTTGTTCTGCACGCCACGATCAACATGACTGCGTGCAAGACACAGCTGATCATCGTCGCTGTACTCTTCCCTGAGCACGTTACCCTGTCGCTGCAGCCTGCGACGGACATTCCATAGTTCCACCAACTTGATGGCTTGATGTTCCCATTGACGTTGACCATGCGGTGTTGCCATTGACAACCTTCAACTTCAGGTCCTTGCCGTGGTCCGCACCATTCAAGAGATGGGCCACATTTGGTGTACTTTCACCCAGTTGGTCACTTATTTTAACCTTGCCGACTTTCCACTGCCGGACTGTTGCTTCAACAACTGGCGGAGAGCACATACGCATATCATCATTCTTCCTTGCAAACATCATTTCCGTCTCCACCACGTCCTTATCAGCCTGATCCATGCCTGACACCCCCAAGGCACTGTCCACTGTGCCGCCGGGCTGGTGGAGCGACGGACCGATTCTCCAGTGACGGTCGTCGTCCACAAGGCTGTTGGAGTGCGCATCCAAGATGTGCTAGAGCTGTTCAGTGTCGTGCAATAGCTATCGCATGAGCTGATTGTTTAGTAACTGGTGGTGTTAGTGGACAGTATAGCGTAACTTGTAGTTCCTTGGTCTTTCTCTTTTGTATAAACAAACTAGTAAGCTAACGATAAACTAGTTACACTGAGACAATTCGACTGGCACAAATTACAACAAAATCACATGCAAAAAGTCCTTTCACTTTTACTACTGCTCGTTGTGTGCCAACCACCATCATCAGTGTGCGCATTGCGCCTGGTTTGGTGCATGCCTGGTGGAATCTGACATAGCGGCTGATGCAGTGAGCACGTCAGGTAACACCTAACGCATTGAAAATGACTCAACTATGACTTGGTTCGATTGCAAAAAACCTAATGATAGTGGTACCGAAACATTCGGGTAACCGGAGTAAGTGCCAATTGATATTTTTGGCTCCAGTCAGTCAAGTGATTCAATTGCAATAAAATTATATACGTATGGTGGAACTCACTTAGTACGTACCCGGGTAAGATATACACCTGCATAACACGGTCCTCTTTTGTCGCACGGATTTTCCTCCCATAAGCGCATATTCAGATGTGTACGGATACGACTGCTTCCTTCTGTTCATGTGGTTCATTGTCGCTGTGTTACTGTATGCAGATCTCACTCAGCTCTGCTCTCCGAGCATGCTGCTTCCAACACGACTTCCCGAAAGGTATGTATGGTGGCTAATAAATAATGCGAGAGTCTTTACGGATTCCAGTGCTCTCATGCCTTTTTGCAAGTTCCTTTTGTAAGTCAAATGGAACATGGTTTGTGGTCAATACTTCAGCAGTAGTGGTGCGAGAATATTCGGGTGTCAAATTGCTCGGAATTGATGTATGATAACGGAGAATATACCAACATGTGAATCACTTGGAGATATGGTTTGCCAGGTTCTATTCACACTCACTAGGCTAGACCCTCTCGAGTATTGTACAACAGTTTTGGCCCAGGAGTGGTAAAGGGCACGGGGCAAGCTATGTCGGGACCTGCTGTAAAGTCTGCCATACACGAGCTGTACGTCTTATCGGATGGGATATACCCCTGATATTGCTGATAATGAATGGCCCAGTTTCATTGTACTGCTGTCCGCGATATTATATCCTTAGTGGCATTGTTAACTTCTCATTGCTTGTGGGGACGCATGGATCATACGTCCATCCAACACCTGCCAATCGGAACCCACCGACAACGCTGTCGGTTGGGTTGGACCACAATCGGTTGGTTTTTGAGTCCAAGATGCCACCTAGGTAGCACACAGCATTGCTAATCTGATTTTAAATTAGCTGCGCAAATCCTGGCATACTGCCCGTAAATGCATCTAACTCCCAGGGTACTTATGAGTTTTTAGGTCTATGTGGTACTTGTGTCGCATTGGCAGCCACTGTTCCGTTCTGTATTTTCTGGTCTATGTGTCGTTGAATCTCCACAGAAAATGTGCTCGCGCATTAGAAGGAGGTGAAAGATGCACCTGCAGGAGAATACATGCTTAAGAGAAGGCAGAAACATGCCCGGATCCACCAGAACTAGTGCTGGCAAGTCAACAGAGGCGAGTACTGATAATGTTCCAGATTGTGGTAGGATCACATAAGCAAAATTGACACTGGGAGGCACGGCGGTGGGTCAGCTCATGGCCAGCGCCAGCTCCAGTGGATATCACGTGCATCCAGTTCTAGTACTATAGTATGACTGCTACAAAGTAGTGCGGCCCAAATAGAACTCGGGTCAGGTGCCGAAGAACTGGGGGGTGGGGCATGTATCAATGAATGGTAATAACTCCGGAAATCATGCTGGTGTATCGAGGGCGTGGGCCAATGAAGTGCTGGATTGATGGTGGACGACTGTACTGCAATCTTGGCTGGTCCCACTATCGCAGAGACAGCACTTCCTGGTGCAACCACCCTATCCTGCAATCTATATAATAATTATTATAAGAGATTTGTGTGAACGATTTTAGCATGATGCAAGTCAGCTTATTGTGCTGGGGGCCTGGCTACATGTCACTATAGCTTTTTATAGACTCGATCACCGCATTACGCTGCCTTGCGTTGACTTGATTGAGCACTCTTTTTGGTTAGTGTCAAAGGTATATGTAATATGTATCTGCCTTCGTGCAAAGCTCTCTTTGTGCGTGTCTTGCAGATAGCTCGCTGACTTTGATGCTTTGAGCCATTTTCAAATTGCTTTTTTTGTTCATTTCATATAGACCGTATTGCCATTTGTTTAACCTCCCGCTCTGAGCTCCACTGATGGGACCTAAAAAAGGCTGAAACAGCTGTCTGGAGATTAAGCGTCAGTATTATGGATTTAGAATACACGATCTGGGGACAGCACTAGTACTGTCTAGCTGTTTCGTCCTTTGTGGACTCATTAGCGAATCACGGAGAAATAACTCTTAACTAAGGATGAACCTAGCAGCCATGAAAATAGATAAATAATGCCTCCAAGCCAGAATTCAAGGCTACATGTGTAGGCCCGAATGTGCCTTGCCCAAGTGCTGAAACTGATAAGTCATTGAGATACGCATAGAACATCTGGCAAAGGAACTACTAAAGCCCCCACAAGCACGGTATTCTACTTCAACAAGGAAGAATTTTGAAAGCATGCACAGCCCTACATGTATAATGTTGGTATAGGTAAGCCTTGTTTGATAAATTAACATGACAAGGCGGGGGACGCACTGTGTTAAAAAACAGTGCTCCTGATACACTAGTATGTCCTCGGCTTTGTCACATGCTGTCAACCGATCAACACATACAACGTTGCATGCAAAACGGCTGCAGCCTCGAAGTACGGAGTGCTATTTTGGAAAATGCTAGATGTACAGCCTGTACTTATACAGGTGTTCTATCAACTAGTGCCATTATGACAACGGTAGCTGAATGATACATGTACATAAACCCGGGGTCATCATTTCAAGAACCTCTGGGTCTAAGCCCGAAGTAACATTCAACTACATGACTGTATACACCATCATGTATACACCATCTTCGTAGTAACTGAGTCTACCCCTCACCCGCTACTGCCACTGTGACCACAATTGCGCACAAACAGAGGACCTTAGAGGACCTACTTCTAACTACCATGCTGGCCAAAGAAATCCAACCTTATGAATAAAATTGCACCGGGCGCTATGCAGCCCTAGTAGTAAACATACTGGACCGGTCTGTGCTCTCGAACGCGGCGCTACTTTATTAACGAGGTTGGATTTCTCTGGCCAGCACTGTACAAAATACACACATGCACACACAACACTGCTAGGCTTTCCACCACCACACTAGGTTTTGAAACCGAAGAGTGGCAAAATTCAGGGCCAGACTAGAAAATCTGGGGAGACCTGATGGTTTTTAAAGCAAAACACAGCCAACACTCTGCAGCCTCACAGTCTCCGGCAGGTTTTCCCGAGCGCACAAAATTAAAAGTTGTTGAGGCACCACGAATACAGTCGGGCGTCACAGAACGTGGGACCCAGGAATGTACGTGTATACCTCTAGGTACACCACAGCCAATAACGTTTTAAAAAGAAACTCGAGTCTCTGCTTTTCTGGAATACAGATTCTGCTACACACGTATTGCTCACTATCCAGTGGGATGTGCATCTAAGAAAGTGGTACAAAAAGTCAAGGAACTAAGCCTAAGGCCAGATTGCTGAAAGGTTTTGTATAACTGACGAGCCTGACCCCTTGGAAACAACAGCTGTGGATGCGTGGCTCTACTGTAATAAATGTACAGGTACACAAACAGTTTGAATGCAGAAATAACAACAACAAACAGGGAGAGGTGTAGGAAAATATACTCGGCCCCTAGTGAATTTGCTTGTGTATTAGCTTGAAAACTATGGGTACACTTGTTGAGAGACCTAACTGCATGCAGCTAAAATATGGAGTGCCGTTGTCACCGACGACTTTTCCAGTAAAGTTGCGGCTAACATCTTCTCAGGTATTCCCGGGTCTTCGCTAAGGCCGTAAGGGTGGATGATATCATGTGCGTCTTCTATTGCTGATGTCGCTACACTCGATGGTGGTGCTGATGTACTGATTGTGGTGGAAGATATTGAGATGCCGTATGTCTCGAACCTTTTCGCTAGGTCTCCGCGGCCATCGCGCAAGAGGGTCGGGAGCACCACAACTGCAACGCCACAGATCCAAGGATCGATTCTCGGACAAAACATTCTTCAGATTGCCAAAGGTCCCCAGTGCTTGGCAATACTGGCCTGTGCAGCATGAACACACCACACATACGCCCACACACCATGTACCATGTAAACGCCCGTTGCAGGAGAAGCACGCAAATCTGCAAATGAATTGGATGTGCACCCACAGATTTTCTCGTATAGGAACAATAGCTGATCTGAATCTGAATAAAACAGATCAAGACTAGTGCCAGATAACAGTCTAATCCGCACAAGGCAACTGGCGCAGCCATGTGAATCTCGAGCAAAATGGACAAACATGTCCCCAATTATCAGCAAACGGGTGTGCGTTACAGGATTGGCCTGGCAACTTCAAACAGGCACAATCCACTAACGTGGTGCCCCGTCAACTTCAACGGGAACACACCGATACAAACACAGCCCCACAACAGCAAAACGGGAACGCCGTTACAAATATGGTGCCCTGGCAACTTAACGGGAACGCACCAACACAAGCTGGCCTGGCACCTTCAAACAGGCACAACTGACAAAACACGGCATCCGGCAACAGCAAATGGGAAGGTACACCGTTACAAGAACAGTCCATCGCACCAAAATGCTGCTGCCACAACATTATAGCAGCAGTACGCCAGACATGCATACATGGCATTCCCAAAAGCAGATACCTGGAGTCAAATTCATCCATCACACTGTTTGTTAGGGCTGAATTTTCCAGTGACAATAGGAAATCCCGCCTAAGGCTCATGTGATGAGATCTGTACACCAACATCAGGGTATATTCTAGGACGAATTTCCAACCGGTTACGGTACAATGAAGAGTCGGGGGGTCCCCCTCCGGAAATAGTTTTCAAAATACAACCCAAATATGGAACTCGACAGCAATTTAACAGATTTCTTGGTGCTGGAGTGTCGCGCGGAGCTGTTGGACTCTAGCAACGCCGTTGCTACAGCTTGATGACGTGGTTCGACCGTACAAACCGTACAAACTCGTGACCCTAGTACCAGCCCACGCGGCTTCGCTGGAAGTATCCATCCAGAAAAAAGCGTATGACCATTCACAGCTCCATTCACCCACAGAAAAGTACGGGCGGTTGGAACTGATTTGTAACTTTTCAACCGGTCGCCAACTATTTCAACCGGTCGAAAACCGGTTGGGGCGGTTCTAGAAAATTCCCTGCAACTATAGTCACAGTATCAATGCACATTAGTAGAGCATAAGAACTCACTTGCGCTCATACCCTGTCACGTAGAGATGCTACTCTACGTGTACTGTTCCGATGTCCATTGGGGTGGTATGCCGGCCACTTGCCAGATGTAGAGCTTTTAAGCCGTACTTTGCCACCGTCTGCTTGCCGTATCACCACCTCACTTGCAACTCTGGATTCCAGGACTGTCGCTCCAACAATGGGCATGGAGCAGGAGCTAACCTGATAACAGTTGAGAGCGTGACAGAGTATCTTATTTAAATAAGGCCGAGTAAGGTGGATCCCTTTGGCAAAAGTGAACACAGGCTTGGTGCTACAGGCATGGGCTGTCATGTACCGGAATAGCCAATACCGGGCATGTTTGGTCGACAGTAGATGGAACTGCGACGGCTCCACCGTATATGGCCGCGTCTTAGTGACCTTCAGGCGCAACGTGACCAAGTCAGGTGCGAGACTCCCAGCCTCCCACACAAATACTCTTTGGCTGTCAAACGAGTGAATACTAGTAGATGATGCTAAATACTCGCTGGCAAACAATAAGCCATACAAGGCCAGTAGTATACTTACCCACAGCATAGCCTGATCTACAATATGACTGATTGGATCGTTGTTAGTATTGCCGAAAATGGATTAAGTCGTCCACTAAAAGCTCTTTGAAACTCGGATGTTGAGCCAATATGGCAATAATAAAATTAATGTAGAAAGGAAAAGGACGTATGGATATGAGTGTAGAGTAACTGTCACTATATACTAAATACAGTCAGAAAGTGCAACAACCAGGCACTAAAACATTTGACGACCCGACTCCTGGCTTCAACACATCTCCGTAGTGTTAAGGAGAGACCAAAGAGGGAAAGGTAATACTGGTTTCGTCATCGTCCAGTAACAATCAACATTTCTTGTTCTTGTGGGACTGTAGCTTCAACTACTAGCTTGTGCTCATTTTCGTTGCGCTTACCTTCCCCTCTTTGGTCTCTCCTTTTAACCTTGAACCTTCCAAGTTGGAAGGCTGTTGGTTAGCGCTACGGAGATGTGTTGAAGCTAGGAGTCAGGTCGTCGAATGTCTCAGCACTCTGTCAGTTTTGTGCCTAGTTGTTGCATTTTTTTACTGTAGTAGCTAGTTACAGTGGTGGACAGTTACTCCTAACTCGTATCCATATGTCCTTTTCCTTTCTAATAAAAGCTCTATCCGCAAATATGCCGAGGTGGCTTGCCGTATCTCCCTCTATGCCATGCAACACAACTGTTGAGCGAGCAGCTTTTAGGCCAGCCCCATTGCACAACAGGTAATAGGCTACTAATAGCGTAACGCAGCTAGGTAAACACGAATCGATGAAAGAGGCAGACTTCTTAGAACAAAGAGACTAGTTGTGAAGGACACAACATTTTCAGCAGTCAGCAGTAGGAGAAATTGCTCTTAATTATGCAGCAATACTAGGCTTACACGTTTGTGTCATGCGTTCTGAGACGGAGTCCTTGACTAGCTCGTCACTGGCCGCACTCAGAGCAGCAGTCGTCACTACACATGGGTTGGGAAGCAATGGACAAAATTAACACTTGCCATGCACACATGCACTGCTTACCAGCTAAGTTAATATGTCATACTGTACTGCAGCAAGCAAGGAACTGGCAATACCTGCACCAGGCCTATCTACTGTGACCCATGCCATTGTGAATGAAAAGAGGCAGCATTTGACAGTATGAGCGGTGTGATGAACGGGAATGCATAATACAAGCCAGTCGAGCATTGGTACATGTACTTACGGACGCAAGTTGGCTGCACACCGCTCCACTGGCCGTTGATTTCACAAGTACACACGGCCGAGCCCATAAGGACATAGGGAGACTGCACACAAACGTGGTCGTGTTGCTGAACATCAAGCCGTTCACGGTCATTGAGCCCAGTGCCGGTGGTGACAGGACCTGGCAGTCGGTTTGACCTGCACAAGCACAGAGTGCACAGAGCACAGAGGACAGGCATTCAGTGCATGCATGTTTGGCCTAGGGGTGAAACGAGTGCCAAAATTGAGGACTCGAGTACTCTTTGAAAAAACGAGCGAGTATTCGAGCGAGTACGAGTATTTTACTGACAACATAAAACAATGTACTGCACACACTCTCGTAACACTGAACGTATTACACCTGACACATGTAGTCTTGCATGCAGCCTAGTGCAGGAAATAGTCTGAACTACGTCTTTTGTTGGTAAGTAGGGACAAGTAATAATTTCACACTTGCATGGGTTATCAGTACTGGTCAGAGTAACAGACGTGCTTGATGTACAAGCATACAGTACATTGTGCATAAGATACTTGAGTATTTTGCGAAACGAGTCCTCACTCCTTTCGAATTTTCGAGCAAGCGCTCGAGTATTCGATATACTCGTTTCATCCCTAAAACGTTTGCGTATGTGTGCGTGGCACAGACATTGGTTTTGAATACATTGTAGTACACGCATTGTGTAAAGGAAATTGATGCGAAGACTGCCTCAACATGGCCATGCAAAGCAATAAAATAAATACAGCAGTGAATAGCGGTCAACAGTAGCTCTACATTTTGCTTGTAATAGAAGTCATTAGCGTCAGAGCAAGAAGAGGGACAAGACGAGTCAAGGGACAATCCGGAGGACGCAATATCATACGACCAACTGTTTGTTTCTACCAGCGTTATTGTACCGTCGACACAGCTCTGATGACGATATACTGGGCGAATGCCGCGGGGCCTCCCAGCGTGTCAACGGCAGTGGGTGATGGGCAGATAACAAGGTAGCTTGCGGACAACATTGGTGGCATGAAGCCTAGTGACTGCCAAGCGTCTTGGCGCGACGGGCGAGCAGTACAGTGTCATGCCCCAGGGGCTGCTGTGGCTGTCGACGTCGGCGGGTCTTGAGGTGCGTTCGCAGGCCTTCATGGCGCTCGGACAACTGCAATACTAGTACACAGACTCTCACTACTAGCTACATAGTACTCTGATTCTGGCACGTTATTTCTGCATTGAATAGTGATTGATTTTCCGCGCCGAATATCCGACGCTGCATGCATGTCCAATGCGCGTCAACAGTACTTCACACTTTCCTTTTCCCGCGTTATCACCTCAGCTATGCCAGTTTTGTATGTGGAAACCCCCTATATAATAGCAGTTTGGTCTATATTTTTAATCATTCAATATCTACCTTCACTGATGAGCTATGTATTTGCGAAACAGCTGTCTGAAGGAGTTTATCAATATCGTCTACGGAAGTGTCCTCGCAATGATGATGGTTGTGTGCAGGAGGGTCTAGTCGGCTTAAGAGCGCAGTGTGGTGGTGGAGGTGACTCAACATTTTCTTTAATGGCCGAGAGCTCTGTCGCACCCTGTAATAATAATAGAAGTCATGGTACTACTATCAGTGCTGCTGCTGGTGCTTACCTGGAGCTGGTGTGACCTTGCCTGGGCAGTACTGTGCATCAGAGCCATCAGCACAGTCGTACCAAACACCGTCGCAGCGCTGTGATGGCAGGATACAGCCACAGGCTGGAACGCAGGCAGGGCAGGTAGCCAGACTGGCACTGCAGTTGAATGGCTGGATACACGTACCCATACACACAACACACAAAGCAGTCAAGAGATGAAGAAAGTGTCTGCTCGGCACATCTTTTGTACAGTCAAGAGATATTAGCATATTTGGAGGAGGTGGTAGCCTAAAACAGGCTCGACAAAAGTTACCGGCTTATGCCAACAACTCAGTGTTCTGGTAGAGTAGACGGTTCGATACCGGAACGCCTTGACAGCCAAATTTGTATAGACCCAAACCGATCATCAGCGTTGATTTTTCACTCGAAATATGTTTGTGGAAGGAAACTGGCATGTTGAAGTTTGCTCTGGGGCCAGAGTCAATCGAACTGAGCCACTCCTTTGTGTTGACCCATTGCCTCCAAGTTGCCCAATTTTTCGCTTCAAAAAAGTTCAAATCAGAGGTGGCTCCAAACCGGACACGTTTTAGAGTGCACGTCAAATTCACTTTGGGTCTGAAATTAGCTAATTGCTATCGCTCCACGACAGCCAGTACAGAGTAACAATAAGCCTTGTGTGTGCTTCCATTAGTTTTGATTGGTATGCGGTGCTTTATTGGCAAGAGGCGAGCCGCTGTTTACCTGCGACAAGAAGTTGATTTTTCGAAAGTCGTAAAACTCAAGTCGCAGTGCGAAGCAACACGTCAAAAACTCACCTGCTTGGTATGGCGCGTCTGGTCATCGCAGAGCCATGAAATTTTGGCTCGGAGTATAACACATTGTAGTCTCACTGTGACATATGTTTTCTAATCAAAATACCAAGAGAGAAAATGAATATTGAGTCCGTTCCGGTTTGCAACCTGTGTCCTATTTGAAACCGTCGCCTCTACCCGGTGAAACACCCTAACCATACACCTACAAGTATAACATATATCCTAAGGACTCAGGCTGAGATGCCCGACTGGTCCTGGGTCCTGTGATAAGCACGATCATCATTTGTGATGATGAAAAGTGGCAGGTAACACCCAGACTATTACATGCTCTGTAAATAGGAAAGATCAACGCCACCAGAATCTGCCTTCCTACAAGCCTGAAGCTTCTCTACACAAGAGGGATATATCGGCTCTCTTGAAATTCAACTTACGATTACATGAGGCAGCTGCCCCACTCCAGGAACCGTCAATCTGGCAGATGCGCACAATGCTTCCCTGCAGGTTGTATCCGGAATTTCAGCCGAAGACGACGCTGCCTCCAGCAGAATAGTTTGTGCCCTGGGAGTAGCCGTTGGTCGGTTTAGCTAGCGGTGTGCACACACCGGCTGTGCACGTCACAGGCACGTACACACACAGGCACGTACACACACAGGCACACACACACAGGCACACACACACACACACACAGGCACACACACACACACACAGGCACACACACACACACACACACACACACACACACACACACACACACACACACACACACACACACACACACACACACACACACACACACCTTGACCTTGATACACAAGGATTCTTCATTATTTGCCACGTTTGAGCTGAGCTGCGATCATCGCGCTTTGTTGCAGTGTGCTAAAAAAACAAGAACAAAAAAACGGCCAAAAAAGTGGGGCGGCTGAGGCCGCCCCAGCCACCCCAGCTGTGCCGGCCTTGCATGCCTGGTGTACGGTCTGAAAGATGAAAGTAGGAGCTCTTGTATACTCGGGCCCGGAAAGTCTGCTTTGCCTGCTCGGCAGCAGCTTCGTAGTGGTGGTCAAGGGTCGAAGAGCGATGGATACGGATCAACTCCCCAGTGATCACACCTTTACCCATACTACGGGGGTGGTTACTACCGGCAAGCAGATACAGGAAACGATTGGTGACCTTGAAATGAGGCTTCACCGCCATGTATCCCTTACTACGGAAAACTGTGGTGTCCAGGAAATCAATGCCATCATGTGCCAGTTCATGCGCAAACTCGAGGGCCGAACACTTATTAATCCTGTCTAAAGCGCGCTGAACTTGACCTTCGCAACCATGCAATGAAACAAAAATGTCACTGATAAAGCGTCTATAAACCTGAACCTCTAAACCCTCCCCCTCTAAGATCGGCAAAATGTACCGATTCTCCAAATACAGCATAACAATGTCGGCATAGACCACTGCTGCAGGCGAACCCATGGCAGTCCCTTGGATCTGCGGAAACAAATCGTTATCTTACACGAACCCGTTAGTCTTCCGAATGACTGACATCAAGGAAGTCACTGCTGTTGTTAACCGTGTACGAAGGGCCGGGGGCATCCACCTTGTATACCTGTGTGTGATATACCACGACAATGCCACGTGACCGAGCTCGTTGGGGATGCTGGTGTAAAGGCTGGTCACATCTATACTAAAAATAAATGATCGTCCCGCACAGGCAAACCTTCTACCAAGTTGATGAAATCCGTAGTTAAGGCCAGAACAGTACTTTCCTCACGTACATACAGCTTCAGTAGAAAGTCAATGAACTTAGTGGGATAGTAGCCAGGACTATTCAGACTAACAATAGGCCTAACCTTCAGGGCACAGGGCTTATGTGTTTTGATAAGTCTCCTGAAAACGGGCACACGCCCCCGGTGCGACTAAGAACAGTGACATATAAAATGGTCATACGATGCCCGATGCGATGCCTAGTCATGGTGAGTAAACAATTGACTCGGGTCGCAAACACGAAGTCTCAACACAGCCTTGAGCCTGTTGGTTGCCATCGGCAGTCTAGCCACATGTTCATCTAGCCCCTCAGAAAAAAACAGTCATTTATAATGTTGGGCATTGTGATGCTGGGCACGACCTATATCATCATAGTGAGATCCGTCCAGGACTACTATCACAATAGACTGCCTTTGAATATGCCCGAGTCTGATCGCGTTCTAATTCCCAAACTATGTGCTGCATGTGTACACTCCGCCTATGGTTAGTCTACTCCAGAACAACGCCTGGAGAGGTTCATTGGGGGCATGATGTCCCCCACCCCATCCCCCTTGCCCCCTGCACCTGAAGTACCGGTATTGCCCCTCCCCCCCCCCCAAATAAAGTACAGGACACAGATGGAGCACTGGGGAGCACGTAGCAGTAGGCAAGTTGACGATGCCAGTGCAGACACACCTCACCTCGGTCACCACACTGGCACAGTCATATGGTCTCTAAGGAACATAGCTACCAGAGAACACACAGAATGGGAGTATATAGTGCTATCCCGGAGGATAGACAACCTCCTATACAAAAATATCTACTGATAGAGTTCTGTGTAGACCCTATGTGCACATATGTGTGGATGAGTACTGGTAAACGGACAGCTAACCCTAGTCTAAGTAAAATAAATGTAGAATGTAGACCCTGGGCAAAAAAATAA